ATGGAGACCATATCACTAAATAAAATTGTATTTGTGATATAATTAAGGAAAAATAGAGTATGTACATGAGGGACATAATTGAGAAACATCAATTTTAGTGAAACTGACTTTTCCAGCCCAATAGATTTAATCGTTTTTTGTTATTCAGTGACAAACAATACCAAGCAACAGTCAATTTAATTTGCAAGATAACATATTCAAGGTCAGTCATACATGAGAAACTACGTGCAATATTTTTGTGCTAGTTTCTTTTTATTTTTGCAGACTTAGGAATTTTTTCTGTAATCATCTAACGTATTATAACTCATTCTTATTGTGATACGTAATACTGGTTAAAATGATTGGAAGATCCTAATAGATACACAACTGACTTAGAAAATTCCAGGATATAATTCAGAAAATGTTTGACAAAAGTATTTTAAGGGTTTCCCAGCTCCCATTAACCAGTTACAGATCAGATCTTGGAAAGATGCATACTACCTTCTTGGATGTGATGCTGAGTAGTCTAGTATTCTGCCGCGCTACATGGCATCACATCCAAGAAAGACACCATTGTTCATAGTTACTGCCATGAAAACCTCATATCTTACAGACCTGAAAAATTTACTGTATTAAACAATGTTTCATTGTGTACTTACAGGTTTAGGCCCTAACTTCTTCTAACAAGTCCACGTCAAAGACTCAAACATTTATCATCCACTTCAACCATAAAGCAAATGTATGATATTCACTATTTCTATTTTCATCACTTGGATATATTTTTAGAAAGGGTACTACTTTCAATTGTGCTTGACTTGTCAGTTTACAAGTAAATGTACATTATGAAAGATTTAATTGATGTGCATCCCTAGGAGGCATCATGAAATATGCTTGGAAAACCATCTCTTTGACCACTGCACATTATTGAAAACGAAAACATAACAGAAAGACATCTAATTAGTTCTCTTTTTACTTATGTAACCTTATACTATACTGCATAGTTTATGTTGTAGTAAATATATATATATATATATGCATGTGAAACTTGCTTTTGTGGCAGTTCCTGCAAGCATGTCTTATTTGTAAATTTTGCATGCTTTTAATTAAATTTACCAGCAATTGAATTGATAATTCAAATGATATTCCAATATGTTTATTTTATGGTATAGAGGTTATTTCTTATTACTTTTTCTCAGTGCAGATTTTATTGTAATATTGACACAAAGACCTATCCATATGATAAGAACTAAGTTATAACAGAAATATTATCAGATGAATTATCAACACAATTACTGTGTTGTACGAATACCACTACATATTATGTGTTCAGTATGAGAAATGCCCATAAAAAGTTTATTTTTTTAAATACTCCTGTTAAAATATAAAACTATTAGCCAAGAACATAGGATAAATATAAACAAGGTGTGACTAAAATAAAAAAGACGACTGGACTGAATTTATTCTTGATCTCAGAAACCTGCTATTCAAACTAAATTTTTACAAAAGAAAAATTTTTTATTGTATCCACGCGGATTTGAATAGTGGAAGTGCCCAAAATTGTTATTTGTACAAAATTATATTCAGTCGATAACATTTTTTAGTCTACATATATATTTATGTAATCTATTATTAAAGAATGCATGTATCTTACAAGTGGACTTCAAAAAATGTCTGGCAGTCCTGTACCTAATATAATTACTTTTAATTCAAAGACCTTACTCTTCCTGTTGTTTCATTCAACCCTTTCTTATAATTTATTATTTTCAAACAGCATGATACACTAATATCGTTTTTCAAGATGTTTATAATGGATAACTTAGAGAAACTATACATGTAAACTATGATTATCAACATAATTCAGGTGCATAATAATAACTTAGAACTGTAATTTTTGTATTTGCTTTCTTTTAAATACAACAAAGAAGAGATTTATATTTTCTCCCATTTATATCTACTATGTCAATTGTGCAATCTATATCTGCATCTCTATGTATCTAAAATTAAAATTAGTACAGCATTATAAAACCCTATGTTATATTGTCAGAAAGTGTGATAATATTCTATGGTTCAATAGTTCAGAAAGAAAAATTTTCTCTCAAACAGGGAACCGGGAATGTAAATTTTAACGAAGTGGAGGTCCACAGTGGTTGTCTTCTTTCTGTGTGTAGGCATTACTGTGGCATAACAAATATCACTTATTATGAACATGGTGGTTATGCTGTATGTTTATTAATTTATATTTTCTGAAAATCTTTAAATATTGCAATATATAAAATGCCCCTTTTCTTTGCTCATAGTATTTTTATTCTGAATGTGCTACAAAGAGAATATTCATTGGAAGACAAACTTTGTTAGTACATATTTTACATGTGCCCTGAAATTTTTAAATATTTCAAAATAAATTATTCTACATTTTATAATAATTTATTTTACATTTCTCATATATTTATGGTGTCATTAGCACAGAATCTTCAGATTTCATGAGACAATGAAAATGGACGTAATGTATTTTCCAGTCATGCAGTAATTAAAATTAAAATAAAGAATATCAAATTAAAAATGTAGAATTGTTTAAACAACCCATCATGAAGTCATAGAGAAGTTGCTTAGGCAGCTTTATCCAGGAAATTATCTCTGGCATCAAATCAACAAATAAATAGGCACTCTAAAATTGTTTCTAGCATGATGGTGAAGAGAAAATCCTCACAGTTCCTCTCTGGGATTGAACTACAGCAATCTAGCCCATAGCTCATCACTTTACTGAGTTATCAGAAACTTCATTCATTCTCTCTGTGCAAATCCTAGTTATATAACTGCCAAATCAAAAGATTTAAACCATAGCCACATGTATGTCAACAGCATGTTCTTAGAACACTATCAGCAAAGTACATAAATATTTGTAAGTAGAATTTTGATAATGACATGTCAATACATACTTATATATATATTAACAGAATAATGTTAGTTGTATGCTAGCTAGGAACTGACAAACTGAAATGAAATCACACATTTTAGAAATTCTGTCATAGTGATTATGAGCCATAAAATTAAATTGTGGCAGTACAAACTTACATATGTCATTTTCTTTTTCCACTCTTTTGCTTTGTTTCAGTGGCATTAATTTGTGTAAAATTTATTAAGTTTGATGTTGTTAAGTTAGAGAAAAATTTCTGCCACTTTGTAAACACCTTTTCAATTTACTAGTTACACAATACTGACACTAACTTATCTAGGAAGATATTGATACATAATTAAGCAATCATATTTTTTAAATCTGTGTTTAATGAGAATATAGTCCATAATAATGACTTAATAAGTCATATAATAAGTATAACTTATTTGTCCTTAAACATAATTTAAAGTAAGGAATAACTCAGATGAATACAATTTAAATCATGTAACACTGATGCACAGTATTCTTCAATATCTAGGATTGTTAACTTTATGATTAAGAATTTTTTGATTGTTTAATTTTGCTTTAAGAAATATGTTTGGAATACACTAACAAAAGACTGTCTTTTATTTACATGTTTCAGGCTCTGAAGTAGCTGTAGTGTAGAAATCCTTCTTTAAAAATTCACTGGCTGCAGCTGAACTGTACTGTACATGATGATAACACTGTGGTGAACGAAGAATGAAATAAAATCAGTCCAGTTACGTTTTTGTCACATCTGGATATGCCTGAACACATTTTGCATTGTTTTGTGTTTGTGATATTATTCAACTTCAGGTTCTCGTCGTCCAAGTGTCGCATCTATCCACAGCAGTACTTCTTCATCTCGTAGTTACAGCGCTAGACGGTTTGAACGCGAAAATATGCAGAGGGAGCAACGCCAGTTACAGCTACAGATGCAAATGCAAATACAAAGGGATAATCTGAAACCAGCGGCAGTGCCAACACCTAGTCCAAAGACACCAGTGTCAACAGATGAACTCCTACCATCTGTCAGTGAGGTCAGGGAGGTGAGAGAAGATGATCACTGCACGTGTCCCTTCAAACCACTAGCACATATGCATTATATTATTTTTGTATTCTGAAGATGTAATGTGACAAAAAGTACTGGACTGATTACACATAGATAAAATGTTTTCATTTAATAGCATTGTACATATTCTGTCATTCTGCACACAGTAATTCTCCTGTCAACATGAAAGTCACTTATGATGTTGGTGACCTGTCCCTTCCAGGAGTATGGCATTTTTAAGTAGTTTATATAATATATTTTCTCAACAGTGATATTTGGAATTCAAAAATCTATTACAGTATAAAATGAGATATTTTATATATCAGGAAAGTGACTTACACAATTTACTTTATGATAAAGTTGCATGAGATGGAACTGAATTCTTTTAATATTATTACAAAAAATTATATTATATAAGAAAATGAAAATGCATTTTTTAAGTACACTTATTAGATTCACTCCTGTTGCCTTACTTTATAGGTGTAGAGGAATAAGATATAGTTCAGATCACGTATGTTGTTAAACACATCATTGTTGTCTTTGTCTATATCAAGTCTCTTCAAACGCATTCAGAGAATTGTTCACTGCATAGAGTATGATTAACCAACCAAGTATCAATCTTCTGTTTTCAAACACCTACAGCCACAGATAAAAGGTTCAGCAACAGTAAAGATTTTCCATGAAATTAGAAATAATTCTGTTATAAATTTCATCTGTAGTGACTATTAATAGACTTTTTGAATGTCTGAAATAAGTATGAAATGTAGACTATGCCCTTTTATTCTGGTATTAAATTTTGCATAAAACTATATATAAAATGTGGAAGTGGTGCCGTATAATACCATATTACTACTGTATCATGTGTTTTAATCATAATTTTCCTTGATGTTGCTGATAAAATATCAGGACTTAAATGACTCAAAGTGATTTTCCTTAATATCGAGTGATGTAGGTTATATAATGAATTCTAAGTTTTCATGTTAGGTATTTTTTATTTTTAAGACCACACTATAGAAAAAACATTAAAAATAAAAGGCATACAAAGCTCCTTGTTATGTCGTAATAGAAGCAAGAATGTTTGCAGTATCTGTTCATTGAATGCATTAGCTGACATATGTAGGTTCATCTTGAGACATAAGCTTTGTCATGATTTCAGTCTGAATCATTTTGTGATTAAAGAATGTACAAGTTAAGAACTATATTTTGCATCTGAAAGGAAGGACAACAGTGTGGCTCATTCAGAGAAGTCTTTAAATTTCATGGGTTATTACAAGAAAACGTGAAACAAAAGCAACATTTCATTTTACATTTTTTTACATCTGATTGCACCATTAATATGTTTGTAGAAAAATCATTCAGTATTTTGGATATGAGTGGAAAGATGTATTCAAATTTTGGATATTTTATTGATAGGTCCCTTGCAACTTTAAATATATTGGTCTCTATATCTATTTACTTGATAAACATATTTTTGGAGCTACAGGTCTATTGTTTCAAAGCTGATCATATTACAGTATGGACTCAAAAAGATTCCTCCTGTTTCTTTGAGTACAAGATAAAAAATGTAAAGTTGTCCATGTGATTAATTATTTAAGCACTAAGCCTCAAAAACATACGGGGAATGGAGGTGTAGCTCCACCATTCTTGACCTCAGTACTAGATGGAGGGGAGTGGTCAACTTCACTTCCCTGCCGCTTTACCCCCAGGGAAAGAACCTCTTGTGCCCAGTATGTAGTAGGCTGGGTGGTCCATAGAACTGGTGTGGATGATATAGTAGAGAGAAGAACCTTGCATCTGGCAGGAATCAATCCCCAACAATTCAGCTGATAGCCCATCCCTATACCAACTGAGCTGTCTTGCCTCCTGTTTTTGAATATACACCACATGAAATAAATGTTGTAATAAACGTTTTATGCTTTAATGAGATCTGTACTTTAGAATCTGTTCCTTTAACGGTGATATTCATTTTTTCATTGTTCTTCCTCTTTCTGTTTCACAAGATGTATAAAATATTTCTGGGAAACAAAATTTTTCCATTTGTTCCATGTAATTGAGCCATTTCTTTCATAATTAGTTATCTTTTTCATTAGAGAAATATACACAATTGTTCTCTTGCATCTTGATAGTAAACTCAGTGAATATTTTGAATATTCATCAACATGTCACATTAATCTTTTTTCTGCTGCTTCCATTCAATTTCACTGGCGTTACAGAGTTCTTCATTCCAACCCACAGAGCAGCATATGAATGGCCACCACTTTATAGTATTTTAAGATAGTATCTGTTCTGATTTTTCCTAGTAGTATCCTTCTGATGGTACCACACAAACACTGACAACATGTTTCCTAGCTGAGTCATTTAAGTGCAGAAATCCTACGTTTTAGCCAACTTATTAAAGTATTTTGCCCTATTTTTTGTATCTTTTCTATTAACACGTTTTTCCTTTCAAAAGCTAAGAATTATATTTTTGTGCTGATATCTTTAATTTTAAATTGCCTGCTATCCTGCTTAACATATACATTGCTCTTTCTAGGCCGTTCTCATCCTTAGTGATTGTGGCTTGGTTGTTAGCAAACAACAGGGTTGTTATTGCCATATTATTCATTCTCAGCTCGCCCCACAATGTTGTGTTGTATCATCCATATAAGCATTAAAAATGACAGGTGCCAGTGAGCATCCTTGTCTTGACTCCTAAATTTATTGCTATTACTACTCTCTGAATTCAGTTTGTATCCTAATCTGTACATTTAAAATCTGTATGGCTCTTATGAGGTGCTACAGGAAATCTTTCCTTCTCAGTACATAATACATCCCTGTTTCATACAAGGTTATGAACCCAGCTCAGGTGACAGAGGTTAGTTGCTCTTGAGTAAATTTAGTCATGTTCATCCACATCACAAAGTTATGCTCCAGAAAGGAGGCTAAGTTCTTGCAAAGACCCAATGTCTCAGGGTATAACAAGATTCCCAAGCACAGGATTACATCTGAAATCCCCAACAGACACCAAGGGTTTTACTAAGTCAGCATGGAAGGCATGTTGATAAGGGCAAACCTCCATCAGTGACTAGCACAAATGATGAAATTGTCTTGGGAACCAAAGTTGGCAAACCCATTACCACACTTATTCTGCTGCATGCTGGTAGCATGCTCAGAGGACATTCTTATTACTCCAAAAAGAGTATAATTTTAGCTTCATACAGAGTAGAGGTGATGTCAGACCAGTATTTATCAGAATTAAATTCACATGACAGTTTTTACTGTAGACTCATACATGTAATTTTAATGAAATCATTTTTGTAACTTCTAATCTCCGTGTAATTTATTAATTTTATAATTTTCTACAAAGAATGCGTAATAATGGAATGGATAAATTTTCTCTTAAGCATTCCTACTGTTTCAGATTTAGTGCTGCTATCTCATGTAATGCAACTATTTTATTCTTCGTCTGATAGGTATATACCAACAGCTATATCAGTAAAATACATATTTGTTAAGACATCTCGCTGTAACATGTGAAAGAATTACCATTGAATCTACACAGTTCAGTTGCACAGCCAGTGATACTATGAGGTAGGTTCTTTTAACCTCTGTTTCTAGGCTTCCAAAGTCTTCTTTCTCTACAGTTATACTGCTTATTTATTTCTGATCATTTTAAGCGTGTTAATATTGAACTTCAGCAAAATGTAACAAAAATGTTCCAGAATTATTGAACATTAAAAAAGAAGTGATTTTACTCTTAGCAGGTTTATGTGGTGGAACTACTATTAATGGCTTACCAGTTTAAGGTTTCCCTGTAAATAGATTTCAGCTTCGATCATCCATAGTCAATAATTTCAGCGTTAAAGTTTCTGCATTTAATATTTTACTTAGTCTAGTGTTCAAATCCACTGCTCCACAAAGAAACCTTAACTTTAAATTTCACTGTTTTAGTATTTTATAAAAGAGGATACTAGTTAGAAAGTTGCTATCATAATTGAAATCACCTAACTAAAGACAATATTGCAAACAAACATGTGCACAGGCACAACAAATTTATGTTAATATTTCAAGTCAGCCTGTTGAAATCAAGTAGGGATAACACTTCTTCATGCAGTGGAAAACTCCAAACTAGTGTGTAGAGCCCTTGTTGGGTAGCAAAATCAAAACAGACAACGAAACAACATTCAATGCTAGGCAACAGATTTGTATTAAGCAAATATATGCCGCCGTTGTTGGATGACACCTTCATTGACAGGCAAGTTCCCATGGAGATGATTGGGGCAACAGTGGAAGATCTGTGTTTTCTACGTGGTCCATGCCGAGGGGTTATATAAGTTGGACAAGGTTTAGAGCTTAGTCAGTTTCGCAGTATAGGACAATGCAAATATAAGAGACTTCAACTTGGAAGTGGTCAAGCTCACAACCGTTCAAGTGACTAAGATGCCGTTGTAGCACGAGACATGTGAGATAGTTATGTTCTGCTGTGCAAAGCGTTTACTGACAGAGGACATATACAGTGCTAAAGGAAGAAACTTGGAAGTGGTCAAGCTCACAACCATTCAAGTGACTAAGATGCCATTGTAGCACAAGACATGTGAAATAGGCATGTTCTGCTGTGCAAAGCTTTTACTGAAAGAGGACTTATATACAGTGCTAAAGGAAGAAACTTGGAAATGGTTAAGCCCACAACCGTTCAAGTGACTAAGATGCTGTTGTAGCACAAGACATGTGAGATAGGCATGTTCTGCTGTGCAAAGTGTTTACTGACAGAGGACTTATATATATAGTGCTAAAGGAAGAATTTTCAGTAACATGCTATAAGTGTGATATGTACTCTTGATGAAAGGCCAAGCATATTCAAAAGAGACAAACCTATCTTCTCATCAGAGAGGATGTTACATAAGGACTATGACCACAAGGATTCAGTTGAAAAAATCTTTAAGTCATGAGTCTAAAGGGCTGTATGCCAAAATGAAGTGATTGGCAGTAAACTGCAAGTTGTAAGGAAACTTTGATTTTGAGCTTAGTCAGTACATAGTCAGGCAGTGAAGGGAAGATTGGGAGGATGGTGTGAGATGGCTGCGAGTTAGTTCCAAGAGTGTTCAGTTGGAAGACAGTGGCTGTTCAGAGAGAATGTGAGCATGGAAGCAGAGGAATTGCCACTGTTGGAGCTGTTGCCACAAAACTTCTAGTCAACAGACTGAGAACAAAAGCGTGATTTTTGGAGATCAGCGATGGCGCCATAATTAAGTGTAATTAGAAATTATGTGTTAAAGTGGTCAACAATCCAATATTCAATCTAAAACCCTGTTGAGAGTCACTCATATGCGTGACAATGCCATTCATGAGATTATGGTGACATTTCAGTTAGGAAAGTTTATTCTTAAAATTACTGAAGACAATTTAACATTATTTTGGTGGAAATTGAGTTTGTTAAAAATGTGTGGTTTGTGGCACATTTCAAAAGATTTGATGAAAACAACTGAGTAATGAGAAAAAATTGGGTTCCTTACAAAGACTCAGTGAAATTCCTCCCTGTCTGCAAACTTACATGGCACTGTACATGTAGTTTTAATTTTAGAAGCTGTTTAAAATTACATATGTATGGTGCAGTATGTGAAGTAAAATTACTTTGTGACTTCAGGTTCAGTAGTAAGATGTGAATGCATCAACTTAAACATTTCTGTGAAAAACTGCTGAAGTTTTTTATGGTAACACCACAGAATTTTACTGCTTGTTTCCTCAGTCTCTATACATTTTCAGGTGCACTAACACACTTTATTTACAAAAAATGGCATTTGCATTCAGTAGAATTTTTGAATAGCCTTCAATAATGGCTTTATTTAGTGCTTTCTTCAAACCAAGAAATATAGCTAAATTTTAAGACTGTAGCTGCCTGTACACAGCAGTACACATAAAGCTCATTTTTATGCAGATACATTAAGTTCTTGTAGAAAATATGCAGCACTGTAGGATTCATATTTATATTATTCTTTGGATTAAGTTTGACAGATGCTAAAAATAAATTAAAGCCAAATTCCTCAATATTTCATTTAATGACCTGGAAGAGCATTATTTTGGCTTTAGTTTGATAGTGCCGTATATACAGACGTTTTCACAGCAGTGACTGTTAATATTGTCATTCAGAAGCATCCATATTTTCTCACTGGTACCAATATTGAAGTAAAAATATTTGTCATTAGTTTTAGCTGATCAACTTCCAAGAAATTATGAAGGCCTGAAATTTAGACTGACAGTTCTAGTTTCAGTTGATCAAAGGAAATTTGCATCAACAGGAAAGTAAATAATAAAATAATGTCTCAGTTCTACAGTCATATACATGTCAATAAAACTGAAATATCAGCATTTTTATTTTTATTTTCAACATGGAAAGAAATAATGTTCATAACAATATAGCTTTGGTCAAAGAAGTATTGCACTAAAATCTGACAAATTTTAAAAATAAAGTTAACATAATATTTACAGATTATATACTTTAAAAACACAGTCATTTGATGTCACTGTTCAGATTACTTACAATTATTTATATTCTATTATTTATCATATGTTTAGCATATAGCATGTAAAAATTTTACCGATTTCTTAATAAGCTCGTTAAAATATATTTTGAAATTAATTTACATATAATTTACTAATGAATCACATTTAATACAGTTCAGTACCAGACACTGGCAAGAAATATTGTTGACTGTCAGAGGTGTAGTGCATTAAGTAAAGGGGACTGGAAACATTGCTCAAACTAGGGCACACATTGTTGGATTATATGTAAGTGGGAAAAATTATTGATATCTTCCCCATTATAAACTTCTCACAAATCTGCCTCCAGTATGTCAATGCATCTTTGGCTACTTATCTGCAGATACTTTCTTGTGATTGCTCAGGTGCTAATAAAATTTTATGTAAGACCTACAGAACATTTCTTCCTTTCCAGATTGTATAGTTTTGATTCACATCCATCTGTCACATTTAATACAATTTTATTAATTCTAATGTCATAAGCATGAAAAAGTTTTACTTTATTGTGATTTTCAGTATTTCTTTACAGGAGAGCCACCACTCCACACCAACAGTGAACAATGTGAGCAGCAGCAGCAACAGCAGTAAGAATGGTGCAGCCACAAGCTACCTGGGTGAGATAGGTCCCTGTAGTTCCACAGACCTTCCCCCACTAGGCTAGTCCTTTGTCTCAATTTTTAACTTTGTTACAGGAACACACAGAAAGTGTCATGGAAGTAGAATTGATATTTGGATTTAGAAACTTATTTCCTCCACCATTGCACACATTGCATTTTACATGTACAATAAAAATTAACATGTTCTTATCATTCTTCAGTATGAAAATAAAATCAAACTGCATAAATTGAAAAAAAAAAATTAAAATATGGTAAATGAGCATTTTATTTAATGTAGCAAAATTTTTCAGTTATCTCTCATTTTATATTTACTATTTCCATTTACTAGAGAATGGTTCTTTGAAAAAAAAAATGGAGCATGAGAATAGCAATATGGGATTTATTTCAGATAAAGATATACCTTAATTTAGAAATATGAATATTACTTCACAATAAAATCATTAGGTGAAAGAGTAAGACATCTGTTACAATGGAAGACAATTTAACTCAGCAAATTTAGGCAATAACTTTGCTTCTATTCCAGAAAAATTTATGAGAACTGCCTCAGTAACTATGCAGTTATGTCTGTCTATAACTGAATGCTTTAATGAAGCAATTTTATGACAATGAAGTAATGATGTTACCCATATCAGTAAAAAAACACATCTCTGTTTAAAATGCTCTGAATTCCTGAAATGTTAATATCCAGTTCCAGCTTCAGTAGAAGAAGTGTTTGAGGTTATTAAGCAGAACTTCATAATCTTACAACACATAACCGGCGTAGTTAAGAAAAATTGGGAAAGTGCTTGCTAAATGGCTGTGTTTGAGGTGGATTTAATTTATAGGTTTCTTATTTGAAGAATGTTGTGTTATGATTGTTAGGTCAGTGAGAGTTCTTCTTTTTCAGTTTTCTGAGTATATTACATGGAGATGTTTGAAGCGTTATAAATAAAGGGAAGGCAAACATATTTGGGAAGTCACTATCCACACACCAGCCACCTGACTCTATGGAGCAGGGTCCTTCTTGAGAAGCTGATATTTGGTCAAGATATTCCCTCTCTGTTATGAAACTGAAAATACATGAACGTATTCATAAGCACCTACCACTGGTCCATAACCTGAATTAAATGAATTTAGACTATAAACTTAAACCTAATATCTTTAAGACACATTTTAATCTCATTCACACAAGTTTGCCAAGATTTTCTAAATGGTGTCTCTATTTCTTTTACATTTAAAATTATGTATTTATTTCTAAACCCTCCCTTGCATTCTATATGCCCCATCCACCTCATCATCCTACTATTGACAGCTTTAATTATTACTGATTTCAGATTTTCATGTTGGCTAGCTCCTGATGTTAATTCAGCTCTTGGGTGTTTATGCTATATGGATGTGGGCAGTGTTGTTAATGTTTTGGAGCCATATGCTTTGTCCATTTCCAGACTCACAGAAACTCGCTCAACCATCACTTTGACCCTGAAGATGGAAGAAACATATACCTCTAAAACATCGACAAAACTACTCACATTCACAATGTATAAGGTCAAACGACCTTAATTAACATCAAGTTTAATTATTCTCCATAGAATTTGAAAATCTTAAAACTGAAGGTTACCTGACACAGAAAACTCCAACTAAAAGAGTTAAAATAATTAGTTTGAAGAAGTTAAAGAGTCTAAATCCACTTAAGGTTTTTTTAATAAACTCATTCACTAATTATCACATGATTATAAAATCTAGTTTCTGACATAACTTCATTATAAGCAGGCCTGTGCATAATATTCTGTGTTTTGTATATGATACTGAACATGAGGAATATTTTCATACATTCATGATAGTCTACAGAGCAGTAATAGATAACTTGAATTAGTCAACATGAAATAGAGTTTTTACTAGTAAAATACAAAAATCAAGGGAGTATAAGTATTTAAGGTCTTTATGAAGATGCTGCTTCATTGTTCTCTTGACATTATTTCTTAATAGTGTATGACATGCTGTATTAAACCAAATATTTTTAATATATAATATATAAAATATTTTTACTTTTATAATATTAACTCTTGATGTTACTATGGTAATAAAAGTTACAAAATGTTTGCTGCAAAAGACATAAGTAAGTACTATGAAAATACTTATAATCTGTTTAGTATAACAAAAAGAGAACTGGAAAGAACATTCACACACTGAAATTCAATAAAGATGTACGTGTTTGGTCCAAAATTAATATCGGTACTGTATTTTAACACACAAACAAATTATTTTCGTATGTGGTCAAAAATACAACTCGATTAGAAACAGATATGTGATATCAGGTAATAGCACTATTTAAATTCAATTATTTTTAGTGTAACAACTGAACAAAAAACGTTTTCAACCAAGATACTTTTGCTGTGTTCCTGGTGACTTTTCTTGTAAATTATTTTAGTTCTAGGCTATAACTAATATATGACATGATGACCATGTTCTTGGGCTGCAGAATTAAAAAAACAAACATGCAGACAAAGAAGAACAATGTGCCTCTTTCTTTTTTTCACAATTGTAAATTTGTCGGCTCTGTGGTGTCTGGATTCTATGCTGTGAGGTCTAACTGCAGAAAACACTATATGAAAGACTGTTCATTATCATCAATGATGATGATTATTTGTATAAAAAAATATATACTATACCAGTCAGAAATAAAATTGAGCTGTTTATTTGCTTTTCTTATTTAGACACTTGAAAATCACCAAACTGTATAATACAGAAATAAAAATGTTCTTTCAAGCAAGGTAGTAAAATATATATATATAATTGTGAGTAAACATTTTAAAATGTTGTGGCATGAAAACTGTTACTATGTAGTCATGTCCTAATAAGACATAAAGATGCTATAATTGACTGAATTCTCAATTTTGAATAAGGACTGTGAAACTAATTATGCACACAACACTTTGATATGAAATATATATGCAGTATCTTTTGGTCTAGTTTTCTGATTTCATTGCCCTTCCAGATATATCTGGTAAGATATTGAAAGATTATTTTATATTTAAATACAACTATATAATGTGTAATATTCAGTTTAAGAGTGATGTCCATTTTGTTGCCTATTGAGAAAATAATACATAAAACATCAGTGTATATCAGTAACACTGCATTTAAACTAAAAAAGTACTGTAGTATGTAATTACATTCCTTAGTTCTTCAGGGACAATTTTACACTGCATAAGTATTTTAATGTTTGTAAACATAATTATTAGATTCACTGCCATCCTTCACTGATCTGATCATGTGATAAGAAACATAAATATTGGCAATGATAAACAGCCATTCACTGGCAGATTTATGGATAAATGGGACACCATGTGTTGCTAACATCCTTAAGACTAACATCCAAAATGCATTAATAACATTTCATAAAATTAAACATCTATAAAAGATAGCCACTTACTCTTGAAAATGAACATCTATAAAGCAGTTTCAACCTCTCTTAAAATGAATCCACCAAAATAAAAAGGAGGAAGTGAATGTATAATACAAAGCAGCAAACATTTTGGAAATAATTGTATGTAAGCTTATCTGACAGCCTTTAAGATTCATAATTTTGGACATTGCAACATAGACCGCCTATACAAAAATGTGACCATGAACATTACTATAAAAATAACTTCTGCATTACAGAGCGGGTAATGTTCAGGTTAATGTGACATACAAGTTCACAACACTTCAATCCTCGCTCACCTTACATGTTTCGATTCAAAAGAATCATCCTCAGAGGCGCACCACTACGATAAGGAAACACTGTCACATAAGATATTGTGACGTGTTGCGCAATGGTAATAGGCAGGTCAACATCCTCCCTCCCCTCCCCCCTTGCCAGCGGTGATGTGGCGAGCGGAGCCGAAGTTAGCCGAGTCCCAGCATCCTGGTAGGTATGCAACGCGAGTCAACAGTGGTGACGTCATCGAGGGAAACTGCGGTTGCTAGGCAGCAGTAAACAGCTCCGGACAGCGTTGCTAGCAACACGGCGCCAGGCAACAAGGGTGCCTATTACGTGGCCGTGTTCTGTGTTGTCCAGAACGAGGCTACATAAGGGGCAGTGAAGGCTATTCACAGTCAGTTCCAAGAGAGTTCCAAGTTAGCCAGCAACCAGTCAATTGTATTCTGGCATTTGCAGTGTAGTATTTGTGTTACTGCCGATGGCAGTAATTGTCAGATTGTAAATTGTGTGATTGTAAGAGTGAGTGGAATAAATTCGCTATAACCAACAAGGCGTGAAGTTATTTGTCGCGTTATACACCCAACACGTGACAATATTTTAAACAATATGCACTTAAGCTATGAATAATGCTCACTATATAAATTTTGTTATTATCGTGATTGGTATTGATGTTTCTCTTAGACACTCACAATGGCGCTTCTTGAAGTGTAGATTTACTTATGATGCTGTTTCTTTTAAGTGTAATTGCTGGTTATTCTAACTGGGGTTTTCCACTGCACGCAGTATGAAGTTCACTTTTCCATACAGTTGGCTCCCAGTGCATTTCAAATTGTATTAAAATTTTCATGTAAAAAATTAGTTATTATGTTAAAATATCTTGAGCCAACATTGGGTTATGTTGTTTTCCTCCTGATGGTGGGGGATGTCGTTTATTTCTCTTGATTTATGTTCTTATTATTAGTAGTGTAGTTACGTGCGTGCTGTGTCGTTTGTGAGTGCCTAAGACAAACATCAATACCAATCGCGATAATAACAAAATTTATAGTGAGCATTATTCATAGCTTAAATGCATATTGTTTAAAATATCTTATGTGACAGGGTTTCCTTATCATAGTGGTGCGCCTCTGAGGATGATTCTTTTGAAACGAAACATATAAAGTGAGCGAGGATTGAAGTGTTGTGAACCTGTATGTCACATTAGACTGAACATTACCCACTCTGTAATTAATAGTGTGACGGACCAGAATGAGACAAATCAAACTTCTGCATTATTGTTCATATTCAGATTACCAGACTGCTGTACTAATTATTTTAGTTAATCAACCATTAATTCAATATGTTACAGAGCTTGCTACCATAATCTGTGGTAGGTTATTCTCATTAAAGAAATTAATGTAATTACTGAACTATTAATCTTTAAACAAATAACATTTTAATGGACTTTACAGCACTGACTGACATTCCTCCAAATCATCAATGAATGTCTGCTGAACTATGCAGTGTCATATCACAGAAAACAGTAGAGTTATTTAAAAATCAT